TCCCCCGGCTTCCCCTTCAAGTACGTCTGACTGGGGCAGCTGGGCTTTAGCTAAAACGGTTACTCAGATAGAAATGGACGTGCAGAGGTAACCAGTTACCTGGCAGCAGCCCTGTCTCTGCCCTCGTGAGGCTGCCGACTCCCCAGACCACGAGGGCTGGGAGCAGCTGGGCCAAAGCAGTCCCTGGCCGTGGCACACGGGCCACTCCAGTCCAGCCCACGGCAGGCAGGGTGGGCTGCTCCAGCTCCTTCTGCTTCCATCCGCCCCGGTTTAATCAGTTAACCAATTAAACGGGATTTTATGTACATCCCCAACTCGCTTAAGAACGGCCGGACTGGCTCAGACCAGAAGTCCATTTAGCCAGTATCCTGTCGGCCGACAGTGGCCAGTGCCAGGTGCTCCAGAGGGAGTGAACACAACGGGGAATCATGGAGTGATCCCTCCCGTCACCCATTCCCAGCCCGACAGACAGAGGCCAGGGACACCCCCCTGCCCATCCTGGCTAAGAGCCATTGATGGACCCAACCTCCATGGATTTATCTAGATCTTTTTTTGAACCCTGTTATAGTCCTGGCCTTCACAACACCCTCTGGCAAGGAGTTCATAGAACCCTAGGGCTGGCAGAGACCTCAGGAGTCATCGAGTCCAGCCCCCTGCCCAAGGCAGGACCAATCCGACTCAATCAACCCAGCCAGGGCTTTGTCAAGCCGAGACTTAAAAACCTTGGGGGATGGAGATTCTGCCCCCTCCCTAGGGAACCCAGCCCAGGGCTTCCCCACTGTCCCAGGGAAATAGTTTTTCCTAATCTCCAACCTAGACCTCCCCCACTGTAACTTGAGGCCATTGCTCCTTGTTCCACAGGTTGACTGTGCACTGCTTGAAAAAACGTCCTTTTGTTTGTTTTAAACCTGCTACCTATTAATTTCATTTGGTGACCCCCAGTTCTTATGTTACGGGAACAAGTAATTTCCTTATTACTGTCTCCATGCCTATCACGATTATAGAGACTTCTATCATCTCCCCACTTAGTTGTCTTTTCCAAGCTGAAAAGTCCCAATCTCATTAATCTCTCTTCCTTTGGCAGCCGTTCCAAATCCTCCTCATCTGAGTTGCCCTTTTCTGAACTTTTGCCAATGCTGAGGTCAGAGCTCCCTCTAAGCCGCGCGGCAGCACGGCTCTACAACACGTGCCCCTCCCACGGCCAGGCAGCTCCGTCCGCGAGTCCTGAGCGGGCTCATTAAGCAGCTTCACGATTATAGAGACTTCTATCATCTCCCCACTTAGTTGTCTTTTCCAAGCTGAAAAGTCCCAATCTCATTAATCTCTCTTCCTTTGGCAGCCGTTCCAAATCCTCCTCATCTGAGTTGCCCTTTTCTGAACTTTTGCCAATGCTGAGGTCAGAGCTCCCTCTAAGCCGCGCGGCAGCACGGCTCTACAGCTGCTTAATGGGCCTCTCCCAGCCAGGGGCTATATTTGAAAGCCGCTATCATGTCCCCCCTTAATCTTCTTTTTTCCAAACTAAACAAGCCCAGTTTATGAAGCCTGGCTTCATAGGTCATGTTCTCTAGACCTTTAATCATTCTTGTTGCTCTTCTCTGTACCCTTTCCAATTTCTCCACATCTTTCTTGAAATGTGGCGCCCAGAACTGGACACAGTACTCCAGCTGAGGCCTAACTAGTGCAGAGTAGAGCGGCAGAATGACTTCATGAGTTTTGCTTACAACACACCTGTTGATACAACCTAGAATCATATTTGCTTTTTTTGCAACAGCATCACACTGTTGACTCATGTCATGATTATGAGGGTTAGCCAGCAGCCTGGGGATTAAGGGGTTAACTACACCTAGCCAGGTGGAGAGACCAATAAGAATGTAGGTGGGACTTTTCAAACTGGGACAAAGGAATTTGGGTTTTTTTCTTTTCTCCCTTTTGTCTTTTTTTGAGAGTTCTCTGCAGCTAGAGGGACAAGCATGTCTCTCTCTCTCTCTCCAAGACACCATTCTTCATTTTCTGTAAGTAGGGTAAAGTTTAGGCAGTTTCGTTAGGTTTTATTGTTTTAAGGATTGGGTATGGGATCTGAGATCTGGCACTGCTTAAAAGATGTTTTGGCTTTTCTTTGTAACTAAGTTCTAGGCCCATGGAGTTTCTCCATGAGTATATTTTGTTACCTCCCTATCTAGTCATTATGTTTGTAACAGGAATCTTGTTGTAATGATAAAAGTTCTTTCTTTTCTTTTTATTAACCTAGCAGTGGTTAATTGTGTGCCTTGATTTTTATTTTAGGGGTAAGATTTCCCAAATGATCTTTCCCCTGATTTCTTGATCAACATTTGGGTGGTGGCAGCAGAAGTTTTATTCCCAAGATCTAGGTTTTTAAGATTTTGGGGGGAAGTTTTATACCCAAGCCTGGTAGATAAGGCTTTGGGGTACACTTGCTGGCCCCCACTTCTGCATTTATCCTGCCAGAGGGGGGAGGGAGCCATGACAGTGCCCATTCAGCATTCCCATGGCTAACTAGAGTGTTACCTCTGAATGCGGACACTCTGGTCTAGGAAGCCCTGTGTGTCTATCATGACATCCGCTTCATCCAGTACAAACACAGAGATCTTCTTGGCATCCAGCAGCTTCAGCTTGAAACACCAATCTAGGACAGTTCCTGGGGTTCCAATGATGATTTGTTCTTCAATCTTGGTACCTCTTGGAACTAAGAGAGGGAGGGAGAAGTTAATTAGCCTTTATCTTGGGGGGACTGTAGAGTGATCTCCCACCTACACGCAGTCGGTGGCCTGTGCTGCCCACTGCCACGCTGGAACCGCCACATTTAATGATTGACAATTATAATTTGCAGAATTTTAAAATACTGTGTGCAGAATTTCATTTTTGGAACAGAATTCCCTCAAGAGCAAAAATGGGGTCCCTTGTCCTAACTGGGGCTGCTAGCATATAAATATTGGATAACACAACACTAACATTGATTACTCCTACATCTAGAGAGAAAGGCAAATCAAACATACTTCTATTCCCTCGGACAGCATACGTAACTCTGATGTTGACACAAAGTTTTCCCATCTTCTCAACCACTCGTCCAGTCTGCAGGGCCAGCTCATAGGTCGGAGACAAACAGAGGCACTTTCAGATAGCAGAGAAGCGAGAAAGACATGATACAGCAGCAGATATGGACGCAATCTATGAGCTGCATTGTTTAAAATCAGATTAAGCAGATGCAACGGAAGGCACTGTACAACTGATGCAGCACTTAGCAAACTGCAGTGCAACAAATAAATCAATTAAGCTCATCTCATTGTACCGGAGTCTCACAGGCCCCACCCGTTTTGGACTCAGCTCCCCACCGGTGAGAGGGAAACAATGGCCGTAGCTGCTCTCGGTATTGCTGCAGGAGAGACAAACTCACGCAACTGGCCATATGCAGAAGGAGACTGCCACCGGCACGGAAGCTAAACGTCAGGCCCTCCCACGGACAGAAGGACAAGTGTGCACTGGGGGTGTTTTCTAACGCTGAGTACAGTGAACAGATGTGAAGAGGAGCAAGAGGCTGAACACGAGGGAAGTCTGATCTAGAGGAGACAGGGCTGCTCCAGCTTTTCGGCAAGGGGGATGTTACGGGACGTGGTCTGGAAAGTAGTTCCCTGACAGAGTAGCTTGCAGAGCTGTGCGCACTCCGGGACAAGATGTACTGAGTTTTGTAAGGTGGCAGCATCTCAACTACGTGCAATGATTCAAAGGCAAAAGGGAGTGCAGCGGACAGGAAGGGATGCTGAGCACACAAACCACTCACACACGTCACACTTCAGGGCAACTGCCCCAGGATAGGCCTCCGTCGCCCAGCTCCTTAGCGATCTCCTCTCGAGTGGAGACCCACGGCTGTCCCTCCTGCCGAGAGCTTGGCAGACATATCCCGCTCTCTCCTCAGAGGCTATGCACAGCACAATGGCCCACAAGCACACGCTACTACACAGCCCTTTCTACACAGGCCCCTTGATCCTGAAGGTGAAAGCATCACAGAGAAGCATTACAGAAGAAAAACAGCTTACCAGAGATCACCCCAACTCCTGCCGGGTGCTCGCTCCTGCAAACCTAGCCAAGGGTCTTTTGGGGGGCTCACAGCTAGGATCCGAGAGTCCCTCCTTTGTACAGTGAGAGTCTGGTCTGCGAACACTCTGAGCGCACAGCCAGCCAATGGGTCTGCCCTTGGGGTGGGTCCAAAGGTGGGAATCTGCATCCCTTCCCCTCCGGCATTTCCTAGGAGACTCGCCTGACTCAACAGTGACCCGCCAGCCAGCAAGAGTAGTAATGGTGTAAAATACGCTACAGCAAACAGCTACCCTAGACTCACAGGAACTGCTCTTCAAACATCGCTGGTCCCTCAAACGGGGTCTAGAGTAGGGGTGTGAAAGTGTGTTCATGGAGGTGAACGTGCACCCACTGGACAGGTCAGCGGTACACATCTACACGCCGGGGGGGGGGGGGGCGCACATGTAAACAG